CGAAAAAGTTTTTTGCAAAGAGTTTTGCTTTTTATCTCCGATTCTTGAGTTTTAAACTCATTTATCGATTCACCGATTGTTTAATCTATTGAGTGAACGCTTGTTTAGAAAAGCTTTTCAAAGTTTTTTCATCGCAAAAGCCTTTATAATTGGATTTATTTTTAACTATAATTCTACGTTTGAAACCAATTATTAAATTATATTTTTAAGATTTAATTAACATTTTCGAGATTAACGATAAATATTGAGATAGATTTTTGGCACAAGTTTTGCGAGATATGTCGTAAATTGTATTGAACTTATAATAAAACTAATACTTCATAATCGGATTTATTTCTCGGCTAACAGTGCACCTGTCAAAACGGTAGGCCAGAGATGTGCATCAGTGTGTTGTGCTCACCACCACAACAGTGCAGGTAATTGTCAATCGGATTCAATAGTATTTTGAAAAAAGTTTTCAATTTTAAATAAATGATTCATTTATTGAATGTTTGGCGTGTGTTTTGACAGACAATTTCACGCCGTGAACGGCAAGTGCTGTGAGTTTGTCTGTTTGGACGGCGACTTCAGCGCCAACAACAATGGCATCAAACTGTTCAATACGACGGTTATTAAGGGCACCGGCGGAGACAATAGGACGCACGGCTCAGTTACCACTAATAATCTCGGTTAGCATTTGTTGTTGTTTTTGGCGATGCTATATATATACAGTATATAAAAGCGTTTTTATTATACATTCAGTTTAATTGAATCTAAAACTTCTATATTTTGTTTTTTTGTGGTTTCCATTCACACGACAATAGGTCTGCGACTAATCGCCTCCACAATCACGTCGTTCCTCATTCTAGCGCTTCTCCTGTTTATGATTCACCGCTTAAGACAAAGGAGGCTATTGTTGATGATTAGGAGTACGTCTTGTCAGCCATGGATCTGATGAATGACTGATTGCATAGATTTGTGATTAAAATTAATTGAAAAACCATTTTCTCGTTCAAAGGGTTACAAACGCGTCGTTTAGAGCAAGTGAACGGTCTGTCGGCCGACAACCCCAACATGGGCTACCTGTCCGGCCAGAACTGCTACGAACAGTACGACTTTGGCGGCTCCTTCAATGAACCGCCGCCCCCTTACACCTTCTGGAAGCCGCCCGAGCACTACATACCGCCCGGTGAGGCGCCCCCGCCCTACGATGACTCGGTGGGTGTGACTGTAGTTCCCTGTTTCGACGTGACCGGCCATACGCTGGTCAACCATAACAACAATAACCGGGTCAACATAACGGGCAACTGTATCGTGGGGTCGCCCACGCCTTTCCAACAAACGCAACTCATTAGTGCCGCCAATCGACAGGCGCTGTGCGCCGCCAACGCCCGGAGTTCGCCGTTTTTAACTACCGGTGCGATGATAACGGGTACTACGATGGGGGCGATGGCCGCCCACCCTATCATAGACACGATGGGCGCCGACGGCTCCTACGAACACATCACAGTCGTGCGCATTAACGACACGCAACCAAATACCGGTGCGATTATGACGGCTACGGTCACCGTCGACGAGAGCAGCGTAAGGGAACGGGTGGGAGGGGTGGGTGCGGAGAGCGGCTGCACCAACACGTTCAGTGATTCCACGTCTACGTCATCGATAGCCTCGTCCGACGGCTCCTCCACGTCGGGCGAGGCGTTCAACTCGCCCTCAAACTGTTCAGTCATCAGCTCGTCCTCCCAGTCCACGTCCACGCAGTCAACGGTCCGGCATCAGGACAACGGCGCTATTAGTCGGCTATAATCAAGTGATGGACACACAGTAGTGGACGGCACCGGGAGGGACCAGTGCGTGCGTGTGTGTGTGCTTTGAATCTCAAGACTTAAATGAAGAATATATTTATTACTTATTATATTAGGAAAATTCATTACAAATTGTATGTTCAATACAAAGGACACCACTGTATGATAGATATGGCACTCGTATTACACATGATACCGACCCCCTGTCTGGAGTAATGGGTAACTGAGCGCTAAGCGTGTGATCCCCTGACTGTGGGCTCCGAACCCTTTCTCATGTGTCTGACCCCCTGAGAGGGAACTATAGGAACACCACTTGGTTTGGGTCTCCCGAAGACATCTCTGTGTGTGTGATCTCAACGAAAAACAATACAAATTACAAGTGAATTGAAAAACGAAACTCTTTTTAATTTAGTGTACAGTATATGACATAACAGTATAAATAGCATCGCTTTTAGTCTTTTTAGTACCCATTGTGTACTCATAGCTCTCATCTCAACAAGTCTTAGCGTTTTTCAGTCGACAAATCTCTAGCATTTCTGTGGCTTTATTTACCCGATGAGAGAACATTGGATTTATTTACAATGTTTTTGCAATGTATTGTGTATGTGAGTGGACTGGTAGTCAACTGTTTGTGGGACGCGTTTTGCTGCTGTTTTAAAGTCATTATTTAAGGTATAAATAAA